ATCCAGGCTTTATCCTTAGGTACTGAGGGGTTTTTTTCAAATAAGTCCTTGAGAAAACCGTCTGTAACAAAAGAACTTAAGTTGTGTGTAAAAGTTTGAAAATAAATTTCGTTAAACTTTGAAACGAAGTCTAAAACTTCTTCGTTTGATGTTCGGCTCTTATCCATAGACATTTTTATATTTATGTAATAAAATTTAATAAAGGGGATTATTTTTTTTAAAAAAAATTATTACGCAGAAATTTTCGTAAAAAATGTATTCGGGAAAGAGTTTTTTTTTGTTTTTTGTTTAGTGATTTTTACCGCTGGTGAATATTCCAAATAAAAAAAAAAAATTATAGTGTCACGTGACTGGTGATTTTCACCACTGGTGAGCGTTAAAATTACAATTGAATAAATGCTTAAAAGAAAATTGGTAAATTTATTTGCATTTCAAATTTGTAAAATTATATCATTAAGTTTGATTTATGGTTTACATTAATACTACAATAAAATATTTATTGGTCATGCTTTTGTTTTTTAGTTTGTATTGGCATTCAACAAAAAAAATCCAATCCTTTATCTTAGCAACCTGCACATAAAGAGAGTATTGATTTATATTTTTCCATTAGTGAATCCAGCTTGTCCTGTAAATCATCAGTTGATCCACAATGGTAGCACCGATCAGAATGGACTTTTTGACAAGAATAGTAAGTAAATAAATTCCATTGGTGTTTTACAACAAATTTTCTCCTGAACAAACACAGTTGTGATCCTGTGAAAAAACAGTAGATTCACATGTATAAGGCCAGTTTTCTATAGCATGTTGAATCTCAAGACTATCTTATGCCTAAGGTTGCTTGCTGAAACCTAGGGGTTTAGGCAAGATGGCGTTTCGCCGAAAAGCAAAATTCTGCTGAAACTATATTAAAGTTATATTAAAAAACTGGTGAACCTTTGGAGAAAGGCGAAACTGCCGAAACTTATTATAAATGCTGAAACTGCCGAAACTCTGCCAAAACTATAATAAATCTATAGTAAAATTTTGACGAAACTAATCGTAGGATTTTGAAGAAGTTTAGACAAGCAACCTTACTTATGCCTCTCACTAAATAAGCAACGTACCTTTGAACATTCATTACAGGTTATGAATTCATGAACCTTAGTATTAATATACAATCCTGATGGTCCTCTTTCCATACCAGTAGCAGCAATTTTTTTAGATGGTTGATGCTCATCAGTCGTAGGTTTATTATACACCATAGAAAATTGGCATAATGATCAGAATCATGAGCTATATATTATTAGTTTAATATTCTGATTTGGTAATATTGAAATCAAATTGAATTTTAATGTTTGATCGGACTGGTCAGGAGCTGGGAGTATCATTTACAGAATAGTTGTGATTATTATGTAGTCCAAATATATTCTAATAAAATGATACATGATTCAACATTTGAAAAAAAAAAAAAAAAAGAAATCAAATTGAATCGTACCTGCTGGTGTTAGGTCTGGAAGAAAATCAAGAGATTTAAAAACTTCTTGTGGCGTTCATGGTATAGTACAAATTTCACATTCAATGTTGCCGCATTTTTTTATCTACCAAAACAATGTATTTTATGCTACTCAAGTTAATGAATTTTAATGAATTGATGTTAATTAAAACTAAAATCAAATTATTGTAAATTTTGAATTCATAAACCTATAAATACATACTTGGAATGAATAAGTCCGAATTTGGCAATGTATTTGAATAAAGTTTTGTAAATCAGAATGTTGCTGAAGTATTGATTGTGTAGTCTCATCACAACGCAAAGTTGAATCAATTGAAATAATTGCCTATAATAAAAGATTATAATAAGCTATTTGAGTTTAACAAAAAAAATTATTTAATTCTGAAATTACCTCAAAAAATCGTGCAATTTCTTCATCATCTGCAGGACTTTTACATATAAAATTTTCATTATCTAATACCAATCTTTCTGTTCACCTATTTAGAAGCTGCTGAATAGATTTAATTGAATTTCTAGGTTCACTTTCTAATTGTGAATTGTTTTTAGCAACTAAATGAATTTCTTCTAGTGTGTTTTTTCTAGAAAACAAATCTTCCATTTCGCTACTCATCTGATCTCTAAGGAGAGCCATGCCTTGTAAACCAAGATTTAAAATTAATATTATTCTTTCAGCTGGATTTGTCCAACTTTATGCTGGAGCTGTTCTCATTGCTATTAACATATCAAAATTACCACGAATAAACAAACACAGAAGAGACACTTGAACAGATGTATGAAGTATAGACTTTTTCATGGTAAAATGATTCTGAAATAGAGGTAGGTATCTTACATAAAAGTATTACTGAAGGTGTCAAGGATAATTTTGTAAAATCATGATTACTTGCTGCCAAAATTGTGTTATCAGGTATCAATGATTTTCTATTATGAACTCCAGTTGAGGTAGCAACTTATTCACCAATTGCTACTCTGTGCTTGTCATCAGCACAAATAAACACTGTGTACTTTTGATACTTAATAGCAAATTCACGTAAATAATGAAAATATCCAGTACAATAATGACTGTCTGGATGATCTTTTCTTAATAGACGTGCTTGAACTTTATATCTGATATTAAATCTTCCAGTATAATTAATTGCTGAATGTGCTAGCACAGGTCAAAAAACGATCTATCTCACACATATCGGGTACCTATATATCGGTGACTAATTAGGTACATATCGGGCATTTTTATATATTAACAACATATCGGGTACCCGATTTGTCACATAATGCGCAAATTTCAAATATGGTTAAAAAAATGTAAATTACCAAGTGTCCGATATCCAAACTATTAGTCACCGATCCGTTATTTAATATATATCGGTCACCGATATTTGTATGATCTTTAAAAAAATTTGTGTGTTTATTTAATATTATCGTAGTGTGGCCAGAGAATACCTAAACTTCAAACCCGTTATCAAAAGCATATACAAAT